CTCATTTGTAAAGTGGAGATAATAAAAGTACTTACTTTGCAGGGCCGTTTTAAAGATTAAGAGAGCTTATGTACGTAAAAGCCTTTGCCCAGTGCCTGGAACACAGCAAACGCTCATAATGTTGGCTGTGATTGTCACTGAAGGAGGAGCAGTGTTAGGAAGAGGAGGAAGCTGATCTGGGGCAGTGACCGCCCAGAATTTCTAAAGAGGTGAGGCCTGCTAAGGGTAGTAATGCGACTGGAAGGATGTGAGGGGAACTTTTCCTGAAGCTACTGTTTTTATATCCATTGCCCTTTTGATCTGTAATATTTACAGTTTTCTAAACTGTTTTTATTTCATGAGAGAAAATCTCAATTGTCTGTAACAGAGAATATGCAGATTGAGGGGTTCCTAAAGAACAGGCTGCTCTTGGTTCCCAGAGGGAGGTTCTGGTTCTCTGGCCTTGGCTCTGGCCCTGGAGGCCCTGGCAGGCTTGACTCTTTCCCTCTGCAGCCCAAAATAGCTAACCACAGGGCTGGGCGAGGGGAGGAGAGCGGAGTGCCCACTGGCGATGCTGCCCGTCCCGGCACCTCCTCCTGTTTCTCATCAGCTTGGTAGCTCTCAGTGCTCTGTCTGCTCAGAATCACTGCCCCCTCCCTTCCGCTGCCACTGCACGCCCATGGTACCCCCACCCAAATAAAAACAACTGCCAACGAAATAAACAGCTCCTTGCTTCGTCGCACTTGCTCTGGGTGTGACCTCAAAACCTCCCCTTTGGGAAGGGGGGAGGTGAGGTGGGGGGGAGCCGGAGGGTAGCAAGAGTGAATTGGAGCGGAGTAGGAGGTGGTAAGAATGGAGGGGTGCCATTCATTCCCCCAGGGGTCAGAAGAAGGGGCTCTGTTTCTTGATGCCCCACCTCCTCACCTCCCACCACTACCATCACCCCAGGAATGTACTCCCAGCTTATTACCCTGCCCGTGTTTGCTATCTTGGCCCACACAGTGTATCTATGGCAAGCAGAGGCCACACCACCCTGCCAGATGGAAATACCCCAAGGCTGGGAACACGTCTACTTGAGCAGACTAAGGAGCTCCCAGAGGGCTGGGAGAGCCTGCAAAGGTGACTCACTCTGTTTTAAAAACACAAACAGTTTTCATAAAAAATTTAAAACGAATAATCTCACATTACACAAAGTTTGAAACTAGAGAATGAAAAAGATCACCCCCAAACCCTCCATCCTAACACAAGATCTGTTTTTATTTTATTGAATTTCCACAGCCTAGTAAAGTAGATGCTCAAATATCACTCAAATGTGGAACGGATTAACAAACGTTGATACATATATAGAGTACTCACTATGTGCCAGGAATTGTTCTAAATGCTTCACACTTAATGACCCGTTTAATCTTCACAACAACATGAGGTGGGTATCACCATGATCATCAACATCCTTCATTTTTAGGAACTGCAGCACAGAGAGGTTCGGTGACTTGCCTAAGGTCACACAGCTGGTAACTACAGGAGATGGGAGTTGAACCCTGGCAGTCTGGGGCCAGGATCTTACCAGTGTTACTCTATTTTGTCTCATCATAATCGTTAATGCATATGCAGGTTTATAAAAACTTATTATGGACAATTTCAAACAGAATCTCATGTTCCCCTCCCCCAGTTTCAATAATTATCACCTCATGGCCCAACTTGTTTCTTTTAATCCCTTCCCCCATCCCCAGCCCCGATGATTTTGAAGTAAATCCAGTCATCATATCATTTCATCCACACATATTTTAGTATTTATCTCCGAAAGATAAGGAGGTTATTTATTTTATTATTATTATTTTTAATGTATTTATTTTATTTTTGACTGCATTGGGTCTTTGCTGCTGTGCGCAGGCTCTCTCCAGTTGTGGCGAGCGGGCGCTGCTCTTCGTTGTGGTGCGCAGGCTGCTCATCGTGGTGGCTTCCCTTGTTGCGGAGCACGGGCTCTAAGCACAGGGGCTTCAGTAGTGTGGCACGCGGGCTCAGTAGCTGTGGCTCGCGGACTCAGTAGTTGTGGCTCACGGGCTTAGTTGCTCCGCGGCATGTGGGATCTTCCCGGACCAGGGCTCAAACCCGTGTCCCCTGCACTGGCAGGCGGACTCTTAACCACTACGCCACCAGGGAAGCCTGAGGTTTTTTATTGAAAAAATTACCACAGTACCATATCATGCCTTAAAATGTATATTTCATTAAGATCATCAATTTGAATAGTTAGTATTCAAATTTCCTCAATAATTTAATAAAATATATATATTTTTAAAAGTTGGTTTGCTTGAATGAGGACCCAGATAAGGCTTTTGGTTGACAGATTGCTTAATTTCTTTTAAGTGTAAGTCTCTCCCTTTCCTTTTTTTCTTCCAATTTATTTGTTAATGAGGGAATTGTGTTTGTTTTGCTGACTGCATCCCTGGAGAATGCACAGGCTATATACATATATATTTTTTTGGCCGTGCTGTGGGGCAGGGTTTGTGGGATCTTAGTTCCCTGACCAGGGATTGAACCCGGGCCCATGGCAGTGACAGCCCCAAGTCCTAAACACTGGGCCGCCAGGGAACTCCCAGCTCATGCTATTTTGTATCCTGATCTTTTCATCTAACTTAGCAAACATTTTCCTATACTGCTTATTATATGGCTTCCTACTATGTCACCCAATGGATATAGTACGATTAATTTTTTCTTGGGCATTTGGGTTGCTTTCAGTTTTCCATTGTTATAACTAACGCTGGAATAAAGATCTTCACACATAGTGCATGGTACGTACTTCCTTAGAATATGCTACCAGAAATGGAATCATGGCTCTGAGGCCTGAACAATCGTTCAGCCTCTTGGCACAGATCACCAAGTGTCTGTCCAAGGGGTTATGCATGCCCAGCACCACACAAGAGTGCTGTCACTCATTCTAAGTACTTAGGCCTATTCAAGGCTGAAGGATGTTTGGTGAAGACATGATAATTATGAAGGCAGAGAGCTAGAGGAGAAAGATGATGACAGGGACTCAGGCTAAATTAAGCAGAAAGTGATCCACAATTTACCACAAACCTAGAGTGAGTCAGTACTCTGTTCATTCCTGTTGTGAAAGATAAAAAACAACAACCCCTTGATAACAGGAGCTATTAATAGGGCATGGCATGTCCAATAATCTCTCTGTTAAGACTATGCATTAGTCAGACCCTCATTTGAGACACGGATCCAGTCTGGGTCACTGAACTTCACAGACAGTGAGGAAACTGGCAAAGATCAGAGAGCTTGATCAACTTCGGGGAAGACGGAAGAATCCCAGAGAAAAGTCGAAGGAGACAAGTAGGCTCACTTTGGGAAAAATAAGAGACTTTTTTTTTTTTTTTTTTGCTGTACGCGGGCCTCACTATTGTGGCCTCTGCCGTTGCAGAGCACAGGCTCCGGACACGCAGGCTCAGCGGCCATGGCTCACAGGCCCAGCCGCTCCGTGGCATGTGGGATCTTCCTGGACCGGGGCACGAACCCGTGTCTGCTACATCGGTAGGCAAACTCTCAACCACTGCGCCACCAGGGAAGCCCAAGAGTTTTTTTTTTTTTTTACCTCAATACCGGGGAGGCTTCTAAGGAAAGGATAACACTCAGTTTTTGCTTATTTCTTCACAAGGCTGACTGTAAGGAAAGGGGCCTCTCCCTACCAGTAGGAACTTCTGTAAGACACAGCAAAAATTTTTCAGACTCTGGGGTGACCATTTAGGTCTTGGGCTGAGTGCTCCTGGGCTACTGGCCCTGGAAATATTCGAGAAGCTGCCTGTTCTGCTCTGAGTGGTTCAGATATCCACCTGCTTGGTGCCCACTAGGTGCCTCTGGGGGCCCCACTCCTGCTTTGTGACAGCTGTTCCCTGGAAGCCCCCTTGGGGAGGGGTGGGTGAGGTCACCAGAGGAGTGCTCCCCAGGTTCGCTGGGCCAGCATTCTCCTTTTTGTCCCCTCACCTTCAGTGTGTGTTTACAGCCAGTCAGATTGGTGTGTCATGACATCACCTGACCCTGCTATTCCAGCCCTGTTGTGCATAGAGTGGACTTAGAACCTGGGTCAGGGGATTGGAAACTCCTCAAACAAGGCACTCTTGGTGACATGGAGAGTGGGAGTGACCCAGGAGACCTCAAGAGTCGTTTAGTTCAACCTCCTAGAGCAACAGCTTCCTACCACGCAACAGCTGCTATACATACATTCTTCTGAATTCCCACAACCTCAGAGGTAGGTTTTCACAGGTATGGAATTGGAGATTAAGACAAGTTATTTGCCCAGGGTGACACTGCTGGTGAAGCAGTGCCTGCTAAGTCTACCTGACAGGAAAATCTGTGCCCTTGCCTTTAGAGCATGCAGAGGTGAAAAGTGCAGATCTGAGAGCCTCCCACCCAAAGCCAAACAGCTGACCAGGGGCCGGGACTCAGGGTCTTGGCTATTCATCAGGTCGTCTTCCCAAGTCCTCTTCCAACTTCTAATGTGGGGAGGCCGAGGATGTGACCTGGCCCAGGCCAGCCTGGGTCAGGTGTAACTGAGGAGCAGACAGGCTGTGGACTGCGTTCTCTGCCCTGCAGACTCTCATCCTAAGCAACGTTGTGAAAAACCCGCTTCCAGGAGTGCCCAGCACCGGCTGAGCCAGTTGATTTCTGGAGGGCCAGGGCAGAGGCAGCGAGGTGTAGATGAAAAACTTTGACTTGAGGTCAGAATTTCTGGGGGGACCCAGCCGGCGGCTGTGGCAAGCTACTTAAAACTCCAAGTTTCCTCGCCAGCAAAATCGGGCAAGAGTAAACCCCACAAGCAGCGCGCAGACGCCGAAACAGGCATTGCCCTGAGCCAAAGCGATACCATCTGATCTTTGTTTCTCTTGCTATTGAAAGCTCCGTGCGGCCCCAGCGAGGCCTGGGCTGGAGCAGGGGTTAAAAAAAAAAAAAAAACTACAACTCCCAGGAGGCGGCGGGCGGGCCGGCGCTGGGCGGTGACGTAACGGGGGCCGGCGCGGGTCGTTGATTCGGCCGGAGCTGCCAGCGGGGTGGCTGCCGCCGCGGCTTATTACAGCTGCTGGAGCAGCAGCGGCCCTCGCCCCCGGGCACCCCTCCCGGGCCTCGAGCTCTGGCCGCGCACGGTGAGTTCGGACGGGCGGCTTCGGAGTGGCCAAACCGGGAGCCTCCTGGGGCTAGAGGCGGGACGGGAAAGGAGGTGGGGGCTGCTGGGGAGGCGCCCGTGGCTGGAGGGGACCGGGACAGGGTGAGCGGAGGTGGAGGGGGTGCGTCAGCCGAGCGGGGGGCGGGGGGGGGCGTGCATCAGTCGAAGGGATGCCCAAAGGGGAAAGTGCGGGCGGAGGCCCGGGATGGGGCGTAGAGGAGGAGTGCTCGGTCTGGGGGTGGGGGGCGGGGAGAGGCTGGGCTTCGGGGATAAAGGTTTGTTCGCTTCCAGGGCTGGGTGAACGCGTGGGGGTGGGGGTGGGGCTCCGGACCGGGCCAGGCTCCGAGTGCGAGGTCCCAGGCTGGGGAACGGAGCGGAGGCTCCCCACTTCGGCTTGAAGTCCCACTCAGAAAACCCCAACAATAGTGAAAACTCCGCCTCCTCGCTTCACCCTCTCCCCGTGCTAGTGTGGGTTCCCTCCTGTACTCGCTGTTTTTCCACTCCCACCGCCACCCCGAGTCCGGGAGGCAGAGCCGGAGCTGCGAGGTGAACGACTGTGGCCCTGCGGGTTGCGGGGTGGGCGAAATGAAAATGGCACTGTGGCGTGCTGCCAGGGATTCCCCTTTGGGGTCCAGGTTGCAGACTTTGTGCTCCTCACCCCAGAAGGCGAAAGATTTGCTGCCCTTACTTGGGGGAGAGATTAGGAAGCGCTCACCTGGCTGCTGGCACTGTGGCCTCGGTTTAGGTGTCTGACAGACTGGCTAGGCAGAGATATTTGTATACGGAGCCAGAGGGGAAGGGAGGGAATTAGTAGGAAAGAGTTACCAGCAAGAAAGTAGTTAACAGAACAAAGTTGCTGCAGGCTCTGGTTTGAGGCAGGTTGTGAAACCACATCAGGGACTGACACAGGCAGCCACCTGCCCGCTGCCAGCGGTGGCAGCAGAACTTTTCAGGCTCAGCTGCTGTGCGCCTACTCTCTCTCCAAGAGCTTCTTCTCTCCATTTCTCCCCTTCTGGGCCAGGGGAGTTGGTTATTTCACTAGCAGTGGTGATATGTACCCTTAGTCACACAAAAGTCTCAAGAGTGCTTCTTGCTTCCAGTCTTTTTCTTAGTTTATTGACCTCTTCTGTTTTTTCTTTTTTGGGGGGGCCTCTTTTGCGGGGGTGGGCTCCTGAGATGTTTTGTTCTCAGGGCACTTAGTGTTCAGGTTTCAGGAGGAAGCTTCCCAGGGTGTCATTTAAGTCATAGGTCTGGGCCCCTCCTAGACTCATCAGGCTTCGTTGGATGCCCTGATACAGCCAGAAAGGAGTGTAGGATGATCTGGAACTCAGCAAGGCTCTTAGCACTCCTGGACAAAACACTAGGGAGGGCTAGAGGTCTAGCTACTCCTACACCCTTGAGGGTCTAGGTTAGGGAGAAGTGGGGAGGGGCAGCAGTGTCTGGTCAACTTGGGGAATTCTTTCTCTCTCCTTCGTCAGTAATGAAGTCCTTCAGAGCCCTCACTTCCTAGCCAAGTGTCCCCGACCACCCTGTCCACCAGGTGGAGGCTTTTGTGCAGTAGGTGTCCCAGGAGCTCTGTTAGGGTAACTGAAGCCCTAAGGCCCTGGGAAGGTAAACATCTGAGCCACTCCTGGTTTCCTAGCTCCTTGGGTTTCTCTTAGGCCCAGGGATCCAGCCTGATGGGTCGAGCTGGGGGGCCCCAGGAGCATCGCTACTTTTGGATGCACCCCGGGCCATCTCGTGTGTTTGTATGTTGGGAAAGTGTGTTGTGGGTCACATTTCCCCTGAGGTCTTTAAGCTTGGAGCCATCTGAAAGGAGGAAACTTGTTCCCATTATCCTGGAAGTAGGGAACTGATTCTTGAGAATCGGCTCCTTTGCAGACTCTGTGATCCTAGCCAGAGATAGAGGGCAACCGATTCTGAGGGGGTTTGTTGCAGCAGGGTGAGGGAGGTGACCTTCTGGGCACTTCCAGGATGCCCTCATCTGTATCCCCAGGAAAGATGGGGCTGTCATCATGGTGATGACCTTAGGGTCTTTATCAGGCAGGATCTTCCCTCAGCTAGGGAGGAGAGCCAGTACAAAGGTGCCATCTGTCCCCACCTCCTGCTGGTCACAGGGCCCTCAGGGATCTGGGGACAGCTTGGCTCTGGACATGGGGCTGCTCGTTCCCCTCCTTACCTGCATCCAGGAATGCAGCTGGGCTGCATTGTTTCATGGGCATCAAGGGCAGCCCTCCTGGTTCCTCCTGCTGCAGGGCTTCTGTCCTTAGAGCTGGGCAGGGGAAGGCATGGTGCTAACTTACACCTGGAAACAGGTGCTGGGAAAGGAGGCCCAGGTGACGATGGGTGGGCAGAGAGAAAAGGGGGGGGGGTAGGAGAGAGGCCACAGGTGTGGTTTTGTGTCCCTGGGAGAGGTATGTTGATGTGGGCTCCAGCCACCCGTGGGAGCTGTAGGTGTTGGCTGTGTTCTCTATCCTTGCCTCTCCTCTGGTGGGGAAAAGGGCCCTGGAAGTTTGGCAGCAAAACTGGTGGCATCAGGAGGGGTAGCCTGAGTGGCTGCCAAATGGATAAAACATCTGGACGGAAAAAAAAAAACCAAAAAACATCTGTCTGGACTGGTTGTTTTGTGTCACCAAGAAGGCAGCTTCCAGGTCTGGGCAAAGTTCATCTCTAGTGTGTTTTCTCTTTTCTTCCCTTTCCCTCTCTTTCTACGCTGCCAGTCATACCCAGGATTGGAGAATTAGGGGAGATGGGTAGAAGCAATGACCCCCCAAATATTTTATCCACTACTGACTGTTCTCATCTCCTTTTATTCCTTGTAACAGGAGGGCGGGGGGCTCAGGGGTGGAGGTGTCTTATATCAGACCCTCAGCAAGACGGAGTCCAGCAGGGGTTATGCCGAGTGATTCTAAGGGCACAGGCCTCTTCTCCCCTCCCCTGGGCTTCGTGGGAAGGGGACCCTCTGGAGGGTGAGATTGCGGGATGGGCAGTGGTTTCTTGACTCTGGGGCTCCATGCCTCTTGACGACCTATCCACCCAGGCAGTCCCAGTGCCTGGAAGGGCACTGTCCTGATCGGACTATGTGCGGAGCAGCCTGGTGTTCATCCCAACCCAGCAGTGAGAAATGAATAGAGTTAAGTCTACATGGACTTTCTCTGGCCTCCTCGCTTGAGAATCAAAATGGTAGACCTGCTTGGAGTTCTCGGGGAGAGCAGAGCCTCCTTCCCTGCAGGATTTGGAGGGTGTGAGAGGGCAGGGAAAGTGGTGTGACCTGTCTCACCTGTGCTGCTTGTTTGCAGAACAGTGGCAGGAGAGGGGCAGCAGGATGAATGTGGGAACAGCACACAGCGAGGTGAACCCCAACACGCGGGTGATGAACAGCCGTGGCATCTGGCTGTCCTACGTGCTGGCCATCGGGCTCCTCCACGTCGTGCTGCTCAGCATTCCCTTTGTGAGCGTCCCCGTCGTCTGGACCCTCACCAACCTCATCCACAACATGGTGAGGACCTGTTGCTCCCTGCCTTTGGTGGGGCCGGGGAGGATGGGAGCCCGCCAGACCTGGGCCAGATGTCAGGGTGACCTGCTGACGGCATGTGTCAGCAGAGCCCAGACCCCACCCTCTTCTTTCTGCCCCACTCCTCTTTATTGGAATAAAATCTGCAGATATGTCCACACCTCTAGGATGGGGTGACTTGTGGACCTGGAAGATGGGCCACGGAGAGCTGAACTAAGGGCCCTAAAGAGTCCAGAGGACCCAGGTCCTAGCCTGGGGCAGAAATGCCTCTTTCCCGAGTTAGGATCTCAGAGCATCTTTTCCTCTTGCCCTTCTCTGCTCCCTCGCTACCTGCTTGCTCCCTGTTATTCTTTTGGTGGGCAAGCAGGGGTCTCGTTCCTTCCCATCTGCTTGCCCCCTGCCAGCTGGCAGGCACAGGGAGCCTAGCCCTGGGCTGGAGGGGTGGCGTCTCCATGCTGGTTCTGTGGCTGACACCTCCCCGGGAGTTCTCCTCATGCCAGGCCTGCCCTCTCCCCCGGTGGGTCCCCTTATTTTCTGGCCAGGCTCCCAGCTCCTCCCACCTGACCTCCAGCCCGCATCCCCCTGCCCAGCAGAGGGGGCTCCAGGTCACCAGGAGCCCACGTCTGTGACTGGGGCGGAGGAGCTGAGCTGGAGGGCCTTCGGCCTTTTGCGTCCTCTAACAAAGGCCCCTCCCTCCAGGGCATGTACATCTTCCTGCACACGGTGAAGGGGACCCCCTTTGAGACCCCAGACCAGGGCAAGGCGAGGCTGCTAACCCACTGGGAGCAGATGGACTATGGAGTGCAGTTCACGGCATCTCGGAAATTCCTGACCATCACACCCATCGTGCTGTGAGTGCCTTAGGGAGAGGGGGACGCCAGCAGGAAGGCCAAGGCCTGGGGGACCCTGGGGCCCTGCAAGGCTTAAACCCCTCGCCAGCTGTGGCTCTTGACACAGGAATGAGCAAAGGAAGGAAGGTTGGGGTGCGCCTGGGTCTTACACTGGGCTCAGGCTGTGCCTCCCTGGTCCTGTCTTTCCTCGGTTTGGGCTTCCTTCCTGCCAGTGAGTTTGGCCCATGGGCTTGGGGTAGAGCAAGGGGACTGGGTCAGCAGGAGCTTCCTTAGCTGCGCAGATCTTGCCACCCTACTTCTGTTCTGGGGGGGTCTTTCCCATAACTCCTCGGCTGTCAGGAATCTGCCTCCCCCGACCAGGGAGTGAGGGAGAAAGGCGTCTTCCAAACAGCGTCTTATACCTGCCCCCAACCTTCCCCACCCAGGTACTTCCTCACCAGCTTCTACACCAAGTACGACCAGATCCATTTCATCCTCAACACTGTGTCCTTGATGAGCGTGCTCATCCCCAAGCTGCCGCAGCTCCATGGAGTCCGGATTTTTGGAATCAATAAGTACTGAGGGTGCAGCCCCTTCTCCTGCGTGGGATGGCAGGGGAGGGGTAGAAGCCTGTGCTGTGACGCTGAAGACAGAAGGAGCCGCCGGGTACCGCCGGAGCTGGGGGTTGAGCCTCTGGGCCCTAGTTTCCCCCTCACTTCCCCCAGTAGCAGACTTGAAGTAGTTTGGGGTGGGCCCCCCCCCCCCCGCCGGGGCTCTGACCCCTCCTGATTCTTTTGATCTTTTCCTTTTGCCTCATGGGGGTGCTCCTGGAATGGGCTGGGCTCCTGGGCTGAACACAGACCTATGAGGTTCGGACGAGAGGCCAGGGAAGCCCCCTGCTCGCTCGCGCCTCCTTGGCCTGCTAAAGCACTTTAACCCCCGTGAGCAGGGCAGAGGGAACGGTACAGCTTCTAGTTTGTTTCACTTTAATTCTTAAGTCTTTAGGATGACACTTAGTGTGTGCTTATATATACGAAAGCAGTTGTGTGAGAGTGCCTCATCCCTCTGGGTAGAGAATTGTCTAATTCAAGTCAGACAGCTCCCGTACAGCACCCCCCGGGGTACTAGGTGCGGGTGGGGAGGGTAAGGAGATGTGGGGGGATGGGGCTGAGTGTGCATGGCCTGGTCCCAGAGGTGGGGGGCCAGGGCTGCAGCATTCTGGCCCTGGTGGAGGTGGGGAGGGGGCTGGGGGCAGGGGTGGGGAGGGTGAATTGAGACTGAAAACAACGGGGCCGCAGAGCAGCGGGGGTTCGTGTAAGGTGCGGGGTGGGGTGGGGGGGGAACAGACCCAACCTCATTCTTTGGGAAGTGGTCAGGGAAGGGGGCAGTCTTGGAGGGTCACTTACCCACAGCATGGTGGGGGTAATGGGAAGGGAGGCTGCTATGGGTTTGAAGCTCCTGGGTTGGCATGAGGGGGTGGAGATGGGTGGAAGGGGCCTGTGCGTCATCGTAAGCACAGGTCCAGTTTGACGCTCGTCTCTGCAGTGGTGTGAGGGCCGCGGGGACATGGGACAGACATGATGAATGGTGGGGCCCTTCTGCAGCCCTTCACCCGGTAACCTCCTTGTGCAGACTGCGCTGGGGCGGGGCCTCTCGTGTGGCATGCACCTTTGGGGCCATCAGGCCACCTCCAAAGGGGTTTGGTGGGCTTCAGAGTCCCGCATGGTCCCTCTCAAGCGGGACAGCGGCAGGCGCAGGGAGTGACCTGCAGGGGCGGGAAGGAGCCGCCTTCTCCCCTCCCCAGCCTGACTGGGGTCCGTGTTAATTCTGAGAAGGTGTGGGTGCCAGGGCGCTGAGGGAGCGGTGGCAGCGGCGGTGGTGGCGTCACTGGCCCTGTTTTCTGCATCCTGGTCCCCCCAACCCCCGCCCCACGTATCATAAGGAACTTTGACCTCAAAATCTTTCTAAGCAAAGTGTGAATAGGATTTTTACTCCCTTTGTACAGTATTCTGAGAAACACAAATAAAGGACAGTGTGTTCCTATTTCCCCTGAGTTTGGCCTCTGCTTCCTGGAGGGGGCGGAGACGGGGCAGTGTGGAGCATCAGTCTGACCCTCTGCCTGGATGGTGGGAGGGCCCCTGGGACCTCTGCTTTTCCTGCTGCCTCCAGCAGAGCAAGCTGGAGGGGCTGGCGGGGAACTGGCAGAGGCAGTAAGCCGGCCAGAGAGCAGCATTTTGCTCTGGGACTTCGCCTGGCTGGTCCTCAGACAGAACTTACACCTCTGGGCTTCAGCCAGGCTGGGCTGGCAGAGGGAGAGCTTGTGACACGGCCAGGGAGGAGGTCAGTTCAGCAACGGCTTCATGTAGAAGGCAGAGCCCCAAGGGGTGCCCAGTCCTTTCCTCTGAATTCCTGCCCTGTTTCACTTCTCTTCCTTGCCTTGGAGGGCTGCATCTCCTCCTGGCCTTTGTGTCTTCAGAGGAATCTTCCTGCTTCCTTCTCCCCACCATAAGCATGAGTGGGAGGGAATAGGACTTCCTGAGGCTCACATGGCCAGGAGAGGGAGGAGTCTTTACAGCGCGTTCAGTGCAGTGTCATCTGTGTATATCTATCATCTGTGTATATCTGTCATCTGTGTATATCTGTCATCTGTGTATATCTGTCATCTGTATATCTGTCATCTGTGTATATCTGTCACCTGTGTATATCTATCATCTGTGTATATCATCTGTGTATGTCTATCATCTATCTCCCACCTGCTCCCTGGGTCCAGGAGGAGGGAAGGGTTGGTTTCTTACCTTTGGCCTGTCTGCCTCCACCCCAGCTATAATGTGGCTTATCTAAACGCCTGAGAGGTGGGGCACTTAGCTTTCCAGTTTTTTTTGTTTTTTTTGTTATTTTTTCAATTCCCTTTTTATAATTTCCTGAGACACAGTGGCCAGGAACTGTGCAGAGATCTTACACAGAGGGGACTCTTTCAACCTCCATTTTTGGTGAGTAGCTGAGGACAAAAAAAGAGGGTGGCCCCTGAGATGGACTGTGGGCCCTGGGCACAGCCTTTCCATATACCCAGATGAATTCCTAGGTGGGGAGTGAGTGGAGAGTTGGCCACCATGATGGGGGCAGGGGCAGAGAAGGGAGCATGGGTGAGTAGGTGCCTGGGCTAGCCAGAAGGGACTTAGGGGAAGGCGGCCAGGAAGACTGTGAGGGGTGATCTGGCCTCAGGAGGGTGACAGAGGAGCCTGAAGAAAGGGAAGGAGATGCGGAATGATTGATGGAAGGGGAAAGAGTAAGAAGGATTTGGAGGAAAGAGAGCCCGAAGGGTCCAACGTGGTGGGGACACAAGAGCTGCTGCTGAACAGAAATGGGGGAGGAGCAGCTGTGTCAGGCTGGCCCCGTGGTGGGCCCGTGGAGCGTCCCGCAGGGCAGGCAAGATGGAGACAACAGTAGACCAGGAGAGGGTGAAGGGGAGAGTGGGTGGAGGGAGATGCCCCAGGCGGGGTTTTGGGATTCATTTTATTTTACCAAGTATAAGGGGACCCTTCAGAAGTTGACCAGAAACTGAGGAGACAGGACTTGGGGGCGGGGGGCTGTCCAGAGCACCTAGCTCCCAGCCACTCTTGAGTACAAAGGTAGAGCACTACTTTTTCTCTTTTGTTTCCTTCTGAGGCCAGTTTATGACCATCTCACTGGGAAATGGTTGGTAGGGGCAACATCCAACTGCCTTGCAGAACAGGAAAGGGGGGGTGGCCCAGGGGTCAGAGCGAAGCGAGTCATCTGTTGGGGTTGGTAATGTGAGGTCCGGCAGTCATGCCCCTCATCTCTTCCTGGGTCCTCTTCATCAGCACTGGTGAGGGTCTGGCTGGGGATGGTGAGCCTACCTTCCCACCCATCAGGCCCCTCTGAGCAAGGGGCAACTCTGCTGTGGGAGATGCAGAAAACAGATCTCGCTTTCCTTCTGGGCAATCACCACTCCAGCTTTCCTCCAGAAAGTTTCCACAAGGGGCAGAGGAGAATCCAGCATTTGTGATGGCCATCCCACCTTAGTGTGTAGTGACCACCACACCTTCTGGAAACAGGGAAGGCAAACCGTTCTGGTTGGCCTAGAACTTTTGGATCTTTCTTGACCCCAAGCTGCCAAAGGTAGAAGATTTAAAAACCTGAACTAATATTTCCCTCCCCCAAACTGCAATGGGCTTCCTTTTCCCAGTTGGTCCAGGCACCATGCTCGCGGTATTTGAGAAAATTGCAAGAGCTGTGGTCCAACACGTGGACGCTGGTGGGGATATGATCGCTGTCAGAAGCCTCATTGATGCTGACAGATTCCACTGCTTCTATCTGGTGAAGGAGAGGAGACGTTTCTTTGGATACCAATACGATAAGAGAGACCTCACCCTGTAGGACATCCTGGAGATGGACAAGGGTGAAGGGCTGTTTGATAAGCTGGTTCCTGGGCTCCAAGGTCCGTATGAGGTGGGTGAGAGACTTTGTCTACGCCTACGCTACCCCACTGTCAACACCCCATTGCTATCAATGAGGTCAGCCAGTCAAAAGAGGAACCGTGGTATTTGTATGTACACGTCCATACACCTCAATTAAAGAAATGTACAGGAGAGCTGCATGGGGAGAAGGGAATAGGGGAAATGGAAATTTATTTTTATTGGAAACTCTTCTTTAATAGTCGTCTTTCCTATTTTTTTCCTTTGTAAATAATTCGCTTTTAAATTAGCTGAGGTCTTCTCATGTGTTTATAATGTTTATCATTTAAATGGATAATTAAATGGAGGCAGTTAGCTTAGTGGTTAGGAAAGGACTCAGGCTTTAGAACTGGGGGCATCTGCCTTCGAAACCTGGCTCTGCCACACTTACCAGCTGGGTGACCTCTGGACAAGTGGTTTCATCTAAGTGTGTTTCCTCATCTGTCAACTCAAGAAGACTGTTGCAAGAATCAAAAGAGATAAATTACATAAATCATTTACCACAGTGCATGCAAGAAGGAGCATTCAATAAAAGTTCGCCTCAATCATTCTACTGGTGGCAGTTATTATTGTTATCCCTTCCTGTTCCTGGACATCATGGCTGAATGGGAAGTTGCTGGTGAGCAGAGCTCCCTTAAGGGCTCAAAGGCCTTAGTAGAGAAGTCTGTTCCATCCCCCTGCTTCCAAGCTCAGCGACTCCTGGGGTTTCTTGGGTTTCAGAAGCCCCAGGATAGGTGTTGATGAACCCTCACTTGGAGACGTATTGCAGCATCTCACGCCTCATGGTGAGGAGTTTTACAGCTCCGACATCTCTGCCAAAGCCCATTTGGGTCTCACCAAGAGATGGAAGAGAATTCTAACAACACCACTGTATAGTTTTAGAGCACCTGCCACGTGCCTGGTACTGCTGTTATGTGACCAAGAGCAGTGCACAGAATGCTCTGAGGTGGTGGGCTTTTCCACAAGTGGGGTTTAAGTAAGCAAGGGGACTTTAGGAAATTTTCAGATTAGTATTTTTCAAAGACTGAGTCAATTCTCTGAAACGAGAATTGCCAAGAGTCAAATTTACTAAAAGCTAATTCTCAAAAAAAAAAAAAAAAAAAGACAAGTTCACTGGAAACAGAAGAAAACTTTAAAGCAGGACTAGAATGTTTTGCAATGATCATCTTACTCCCCAGGGGGCAGGGGCAAGTTTAATTATGGAAAAAAAAATTTGACTGAGTCAGTTAACTTGCTTTAAGGGAAAGTCTATCTGTTTGCATAAAAAAATTCAGAGGGAGAGATGAAACCAAACTAAAAAAGTCCTTAAGAATGAGGTGAACTGGTCATTTAAATTGATTTTCAGCAACTTGGCCTGCTCCCTTTTCAAACAGATTATTATTTTTTTAACTAGATGGTGTACATCTTTTTTTTTTTTTTAATTAACTAAAGTCCATACTTTATTCAGATTTCCTTGGTTTTTATCTAGTGTCCCATTTCTGTTCCAGGATCCCATCCAGGACATCATGTTACATGTAGTTGTCACGTCTCCTTTGGCTCCTCTTTGACTTGCCTTGTTTTTGATGGCCTTGACATTTTTTTTTTTTTTGTGGTACGCAGGGCTCTCACTGTTGTGGCCTCTCCCGTTGCAGGGCACAGGCTCCGGACGCGCAGGCTCAGCGGCCATGGCTCACGGGCCCAGCCGCTCCGCGGCATGTGGGATCCTCCCGGACCGGGGCACGAACCCGTGTCCCCTGCATCGGCAGGCGAACTCTCAACCACTGCGCCACCAGGGAAGCCGCCTTGACAGTTTTGAGCAGTAGTGGTCAGGCATATTGTAGGACACCCCTCTGATTGGAATTTGTCTGATTTTTTTCTTATGGATAGACCTAGGTAATGGGTTTGGGGGAGGAAGACTGCAGAGGTAAAGTGCTGTCCCCATCACATCATATCAAGGTTATGTACTATCAACATGACTTATCACTGTTGATGTTGACCTTGGTCAGCTGGCTGAGGTACTGCCTGTCAGGTTTCTCCACTGTCAAGTTACTCTTTCCCCCTGCCCCTCCTCCACAATGTTTTATTGATTGGTTGATTGATGGCTGCACCGTGTGGCTTGCAGGATCTTAGTTCCCTGACCCAAGGATTGAACCCATGCCCCCTGCAGTGGAAGCCCAGAGTCCTAACAACTGGACCGCCAGGGAATTCCCCCATACTGTATTCTTTGTGTGCATAAGGTTTGATTTTTTCTTTCTCTCTGATAAAGTACCCACGAACTTTTACGTTACTCAGGAAACAATTGGGCCCTGAGACATTAGCGTCCCACACACAGGACTGATTTCAGGCACTATTTCTAGGTCTGTCATATTTCCACCAGTTTCAAAATGCATTTCTTCTCTGTAAATCTGGCCCTGCCCCCCAAATCCAGCAGTAGAAGTTCTCCCTGCTCTGTAGGCTCAGAACTGGGAGGTCTGAGAGAAGGGCACTCAGCCTGGCAGCATCTCCACATATGCTCCACTAACTCCAGGGCAGCAACTGACTTGGAGTCCACGCCCTTATGCAAGGCCTTATGCAAGGCTGGTCAGAGTCCACTTGGGTGGGCAACTTTCCAGACTTGCCTCACTTTACACATGCACAGTGCACACAAACACAGAGACTGAACTCTGCTTAACTTTTATTTCCCAAAGGTCAGGGCCTCCTAATTCTTTCACTTTACTTTTCCTTGTCTCATTTCAGCCTCTCAAATAGTTATATAGGACTAGCTCACATTTACTGAACATTTAGTATGTGTGCCAGGCACTTTGTTAAGTGCTTAACTGCATTAGTTTATTAATTTCCTCAAGCACGGGAAGTAGGTACTATTAATATTTCTCCTTCTATAGAGACTTCCCTGGTGGTGCAGTGGTTAAGACAACGAGCTTCCATTGCAGGGGTCATGGGTTCGATCCCTGGTCGGGGAACTAAGGTCCCACATGCCGCAGGCCGTAGCCAAAAAAAAAAAAAATTCTCCTTCTATAGATGAGGAAACAGATTCAGAGGTGATGTGACTTATCCAAGGTCATTTGGTAAGAAGGTGGCAGAGTGGGCTCCAGGCATGATGACTTCTGGTGAGAACAGCATTGGCTGGAGAGCCACAACTGGAAGAATTCCTCAGAAGGGAAGGGGATCGTGGAGGGGAGCCCAGGACGGGGTGCACCAGGGAGGATTTTCTAGAGAGAGATCTTTTTTTTCTTTTTTTTTTAGCATCTTTATTGGGGTATAATTGCTTTACAATGGTGTGTTTGTTTCTAGAGAGAGATCTTTTGGGGTCAGCCTCAATGTGACGTTTACCTTTCTCTTTCCAGGTCAAAAGGTTAAGTCCCAAGTTATGGACAGCGTAGACTCAAAGGGAAGTTTGACAGTGAAATTACCCAAAGAAAAAACACTTGACGTGGGAATAACATTCTCCAGGTCCCCAGAGCAGGGCATCGAGTTATCAAAGACCTGGATACTCCAGAAATTCCTGGATTCCCTTAAGAACAAGTGAGGCTGGTTGCGGGCAGCAAGGGGGAGGGAGGGAGAGAGGGAGAAGCCCATTTTGGGCACCAAGGGCATCTGAGGTGGGGGGCCCCTGGCTGGTGCAGCCTCCCACTCCCTACTCCCAGCTCTCCCCATCCCACTCCTTCGCTCAAGCATGCCCTCCTCTTCTCCACCCTCAGGAAGCCTTCTCATTCTTCCAGGATCAGCCTCCAGGAGCCCTTCTTCTGAGGTCCTCAATTCACTCATTTCCCTGCTGTGTTTTGTGCCTGTTTCACTCTGCCTTGCGGCAAGCCAGTGGTTTCCATGTTCCCTCCCCTCACTGCACTCAGAACAACTTGTGACCGGGGACTGACTTTACTAACCTCTCTGTTTATCCCCAGCACATGGTAAGTACTTGGTAAGAGAGCTGAAGTGAAGCCCAATGAAATCAAAGCACCCCCGTCGAACATTTCCTGCACAGGAAGTACCACCGGCCCACCCCACCAGGGTGGCACCAATCAAGTGCCACAGAAGTTCTGATAGCTGAGGGCATGGTCCTTCCAAGGGACTTAGAGGGATATCACCAGCCTTCCTCCTCGACAGTCATGTTGTGGTCGGTATTGGTGTCTTCTTCCCTAGCTGCAATTGTTGGAAAGTGTGGATAGGTCGGGGGAAGGGGCCCCACCACTCTGCTGGGCTAGCCCTCCCTGAGCACGGTGGATGCCTTTTGTTTTTCCTTTTTAATTAAAAACTGAAAGCCTTGCAGTGAAATTGTACTGGTCCTTTGATCTACCCCTACCCACCATGGTATTGCTGGGGAGGGGGCTTCTGCAGTTTTTCTGAGGGAACTCCATTTTTCTAGCATGCCTGTTGTTTCTAGAGTGAAGCTATGTGGAATGTGTAAGTAGAGTTGTGTGTTGGGGGGGTAGGTAGAGGAAGATCTGCTCAGGCAAGGATGTAGGACTTTCTTGGGGGTCTTTTGGTTGCAAATACCAGAAGTTCCATCAGGTAGGGAGGGAGGGAGGTTTATACATGTATTTATATCTGGCTGCTTGGGGTCTCAGTTGCGGCATGCATGCGGGATCTAATTCCCTGACCAGGGATTGAACCCGGGCCCCCTGCATTGGGAGCATGGAGTCTTAACTGCTGGACCACCAGGGAAGTCCCCCATCAGGCTGTTTTAAGTCACCAAATGAATTTCTTTATGGAATCAGAGATGCCTTATGGACCCCCAAGGGTGGACAATTCAACCAGGCCCCAGAGACCAGTGCAGGGAGCTGGAGCCCCTTCTCAGAGAATGGGGTATTGTGGACTGGGCAGATACCTATCTCAGTGCCATGGGAAGGGCACAAGCTTTGGACTCATACAGACTGGGGTTTGTATCCCAGTTATACACTTATTAGCTGTGTGAACTTGGACCATTCACAACCTGTCTCTAAGCCTCAATTTCGTCATATGAAAAGTGGATGCAATCCTGCCTACATCATAGCGGGGCGGTGAGGGTTAAATGAAATGACGTGTGAAGTACCTCACAGCGCTGGTACACTGTAATCTTCCAGAAATGCTAGCGGGTTCCCTTCCCATTTGCACCCCGTTCCCGCCCACAGTGGGTAAAGTGAACTGGGACAGGGGTGCTGTGGTCTTCCGGCCTCAGAGGCACTTAATCTCAAATAGAAACGAGCTGCTGGAGAGGGACAAATGTCCCTGGGAGGTGGGGCCCCTCTCATTCCCCCTTTACTCCCTCCAGAAAGCTGAAGAGGAAACTGACCCCTATGTTCCAATCAATCCAGGCAATGAGAGAAGACCTTTATCTAGTGACGGAAACTCTGAAGACAACAAAGACTGTAATCCTGAAAAGTGAAAAGCAATATATTTTTTGGGACCCGATGAAATGTTTTGGCCTCCGATATGAACACAAGATTAGGATCCTGGGAGGTGGGAACTGTGGGAGAGCCAGCTCGGCTCACCCACTGCAGGTCGGGGGCTGCCAGCCCAGCCGCCGTACTCTTCAGCTCTTCCTTTAGACCTCTCTGAGCAGTCTTGCCTGCTCCTTGGCCTTCTTACGACTTTTCTTCTTGCCCCAAGAAAGTCTGTGTGGCATCACTCAGCCTCTCCCCTGTTACTCTCTAGTGGTGCTCTGTCTTCATTTGCTTCATAGCGCTTCCCACGGTTCATAGTTACACGGGTGTTTTTTGCTTGTTCATTGTCTTCCTCCCTTTCCAGGAGGCAGGAGGACAGGAGCCACGATGCCTGGAACAAAACGGGCATGTTTTGTCCTCTATAATTTTTTTTTTTTTGGCCACGCCACGCGGCTTGCAGGATCTTAGTTCTCTGACCAGGGATCGAACCCGGGCCCCTGGCAGTGAAAGCGCCAGGTCCTAACCACTGGATGGCCAGGGAATTCCCCATAAATATTTGTTGAATGAAGTGGAAACAACATGAGTTTTGGGGTCAGATGCCCGTTCAAATTTCAGCTCTACTGCTGTGAAACGGGCTCATCTGCTGACCCTCTCAGAGCCTCGGTTCTCTCATCTGTAAAATGAGAGCCTCGGTTCTCTCATCTGTAAAATGAGGATAAAAATTACCTCCCAGGATTGTTTGGGAGATCAGGCAAGATAACTATGTCAAGCACTTAGGGATCAATCAACCTGAGCTCCTTTTTCCTAGCACCAAACGGAAGTGAGCATCACCCCTCAGAAGGTCCTGGGCTATCGAGTAAAGCAGCTAGTCTTCCCCAACGCAGAAAGTATGGGTAAGCAAGGCCTGGTGGGGCGGGGTGGATGGGGGAGCCTGAACACATGAGTAGGGTGGGGGTTGATTCAGCTGGGATCTGTGTCAGCCTGGAGGGGCCCTGGTGAGCTGGAAGGTGGGGGGAAGTTCCAGGGAATGAGAAGAAGGGTGATGAAGGGTCCTTGCTCAGACACCACTGACCCAGGGTTTGCCCCAGCATGACACTAATTCTTCCCTTAACTCCCATCTCTCTCCCAGTATTTTTTTTTCTGTTGGAGGGCAGGGTGGGAAGGTTGGGGAGAAAGAGGACCTTACAGAGAGAGAACTGAGCTTTCTTTTTTAAAATCAATTTTTTATTTTTTAATTTAATTTTTAAAATTATTTTTGGCTGCATTGGGTCTTCATTGCTGCACGCGGGCCCTCTCTAGTTGCTGAGAGCGGGGGCTGCTCTTCGTTGCGGTGCGTGAGCTTCTTATTACAGAGCACAGGCTCTAGGCCTGGGGGCCCCAGTAGTTGTGGCTCGTGGCTCTAGAGCGCAGGCTCAGTAGTTGTGGTGCACGGGGCTTAGTTGCTCTGCGGCAGGTGGGATCCTCCCAGACCAGTGTTACGAACCCGTGTCCCTTGCATTGGCAGGTGGATTCTTAACCACTGTGCCACAAAGGAAGTCCCAGAACGGAGCTTTTTGATAACTGGTCTTTCTCTCTTTCTCTTTTTACAAACTGGTTTAGGTATTAGGTTTTCTCGGGCAGAAAAGAAAAATCCTTTCCAGAAGGTGAGTGAGCTTATGGGCCTCCTGTTCATCATTCCAGAATGGGCAAGGATACTATTTTTAAAAAGAGGATAACAAATGGCCTGGGATTATAGAGTTCTTAGTGCTAAGAATGTAATAGGATGCACCCAGGTGGGAACTGTGGTAAGGGCAGGAGAAAACTCTGCCTGTTGGAGAAGTAGGTTGGATTGCATGTTGACCTAGGGTTTCCAGGCTCCGCCAACTTTGGCTTGCTCTGTGCAGGTCAGTGTGCTGGATCCTGGGCTCACAGCCCTTACTGAAGGGTTACTGGCCTAGGAAGCACACCTGAATTGTCTGGCCAGTTCTCACACAATAGCACTAGCACTGAAAGGAGCACTGGACTAGGAGTCAGACGGTCTCAGGGCCTAGTCCTGGCTCTGCCACTCACTAGCTCTACAGCCTCCTGAGCCATGGTTATGCTGACGTTAAAATGAACTAGGGGGCTTCCCTGGTGGCGCAGTGGTTGAGAGTCTGCCTGCCAATGCAAGGGACACGGGTTCGTGCCCTGGTCTGGGAAGATCCCACATGCCGCGGAGCGGCTGGGCCCGTGAGCTGTGGCCGCTGAGCCTGCACATTCGGAGCCTGTGCTCTGCGGTGGGAGAGGCCACAGCAGTGAGAGGCCCACGTACCGCAAAAAAAAAAAAGAACTAGGATTAGACCAGGAGATCCCTATGATTCTGAATGTGGCTTCCTCTGGAATTTCAGAGTCTTTCCCTGAATCCAATAAGGGTTGTTACTGCCTAAAAGGCCTTGTGAAGGAGTAGAGAGAAGTCTAGATGGAGCAGAAAATTCAAGAAAAATTTCTGGAAGTTGTAGAAGTTGCAGTTTCAGTCCTGGCAAGGTCTTGCTAGCTCAAAAGAGACTACAGTGCCATAACAGAGGAGTCAGGGGGTAGATTCCAGTTCCTGCCCTGATCCAGATTTGCTGAGCGGCCCTCTCTGGGCTTCCATTTCTCCTTCAATCATCCAGGCATAATCCTATGCCTGCCTATCTCTGAGGGTGTAGGAAGGGGTCTGTAAATATAGTGCTTTGTCATTTACACACAATGATGAGGATGCAGGCTCCCTGGCATGGGCAGTGAGGGCTCAGAGTCCAGAATTGAAAACTTCCACCACTGGGACAAGAAGGTCCACAGGTGGGTGGAGGTGACCTGAAAACTCTCTGAGATTATTCTTCCTCTGCAGAGAAAGATGGCGGTTCATCTTGGTTAGGTAAGGATGGAAGCCAGCTGTGTTCAGGGTAGCTGCACTCCTCACTCTTGAGCCCTCTGCCCTCAAGAAGTGCAGCTCAGGTGGGGCAGCTGAGTGTGTGTGAGTGTGTGTGCATATGTGTGTGTGGCAGTGGAGCTTGTTGGGAGGAGAAGGGTAGGACAGTGCCCAAAGCAGGTTTCAACTTCAGTCTGGAGAGTGCATCTGTCTCCTCTAAACACAGTGATTCTCATGGGTTGTAGACATCACCTGGGGGGAACTTTAAAAGTAGTGATACCTGAGTCCCACCTCTAGAAATTCTGACTTAAGTGATCTGGGGGTGTGGCCTGGTCTGGGCATCGGGTCTGGGCACTCCCCAGGGGATTCTCATGCACAGTCAAGGCTGAGAACCACTGCTCTAACTTCCTCTAAATCCTCACTACTCCTGCTGGGGCCTAAAGCTTGCACTTTGAATGGAAAGGACAACATAAGCTTTGATTTCCTGCAGATTGAGAAGAATTGGGGGTTGGTATAAGACTGAGGGTGAGTTGGGGAGGTGGAAGTGGGGTCAGCGGGAGGCAATGCTGGTGGGCGTCTGGGAAGAAGGATGTTTTAACAGGAAAAGACTAGAAGAAGGGAATATACAGAGAGGTGATCTCCAGAAGAAAGATAGATAAAGAATGGCGTCTGGGGGGCCTTGGTAATGGAGATTGCTAGGCTGGGTGGGTGGGGTTCTTAATTTCTGCCTCTACTGGGAAGTCCTTGAGTTTGGAGGATTTCCCAAGCGTGAAGGAGAGGATGCAGGACATGGTGCGAGTCCTCCAGAATCCGACTGAGGAGCGAAAAGAGGTGCTAAGCTGCTTCACCAAGTGCCTCAGCAAGGATGAAGAGCTGCAGGATCTAGAGCGAAGAATAAGAGGCCCAAGGAAGAACTGGGGCAGAGAGAGGGAGGAGCCAGTGGGGAGACAACCTGCTATAATGGGACTGGGCTTATCTCCCCCATCTCCTGGTCCTAGGTGTCTGAGGTCCGGCGCTCCAGGGAGCTACAGATGGAAGGCCCAGCAGGTTCTGTCATGCAGCCTTTTTAACGCTGCTGGGATCTTTTTTTTTTTTTGAAACAATGAATTTTATTTTTTTTATACAGCGGTTTCTTATTGGTTATCTACTTTATACATATTAGTGTATACATGTCAATCCCGATCTCCCAATTCATCCCCCCCCCCCCCTTTCCCCCCTTGTTTTCCATCTGTTTGTTCTCTACATCTGTGTCTCGATTTCTGCCTTGCAAACAGGTTCATCTGTACCATTTTTCTAGATTCCACATTTATGCGTTAATATACGATATTTGTTTTTCTCTTTCTGACTTACTTCACTCTGTATGACAGTCTCTAGGTCTATCCACGTCTCTACAAATGACCCAATTTCGTTCCTTTTTATGGCTGAGTAATATTCCATTGTATATACGCTGCTGGGATCTTGATAGAGGAGCACACAGAAGCCATTTCAGATTTCTTGGATGACTTGATGGGTGAGGAGGGGTTTGGATGTAAGCTGGTGTGGAGGAAATGCTGAGCAGAGGGGCCTGTGGGGAATCAAATCTTGGGAGGAAGCGGGTATACACTGCCTTTTACATTTTGTGAGGCATAGAACTTCACACTTCAGACACTAGCCATCTTTCCCAGGCCAGGGATTGAGGTACAGCCTCCTCTTCCCCTACGACCTCCTGCAGGCTAAGAGGAAAGCAGGAGCCCTTTGGAAGACCCTCCATCTAGCACTCCTGGGGGCTCTCTGGAACTTCTGATGCTTGTCCCAGCTCTCACCAGACAGTGAAGCCCCGTCCCACTATGTGCCTCGCCTCTCCACCAGCCACCCTCCTTTTTGCCCCCTGAGCTGTCTGAGGAGGGGCAGCTTGTAGCTGAGGCCCTAGTTAAGGGGACCCTGCCCCTTTTGAAGGACAAGGTAAGACAGCCTGGGCTGAGGGCCCAGGTCCTAGTGGAAGTGAATGCCCGTGCTCTCAAGGATCCAGAAGTCCCAGTGACCAGTCCCTTCCTACTTCATAGTCCTCTGCCAGCTGTCTATGCAGCTGGTTTGTGGCAATTCCCCGGATATATAGTTCCCAGGACAATTTAGGATGGCCTTTTAGGCTCTGTTGCTTGCCTATGGGCAAGAAAGGGGGTTGGAAAACTGTTAGTCCCAGGAGGGCAGTTGGCCCCATCTTCACTGATCAGCAGCGCCTGTCACTATGTTGAGAGTTTGAGGGTCTCCAGGCAAGAGCACCGTGGTGGATTGCTACGTCTGCCATGGGCTCAGGATTAAGGAGGGCGGCCAAATATTTGCCATTTCTGGCATATTTCCTTGTTTCTAGATTTTACAGTCTGGTGGGTTTCCTTCCAGGTGGAGCCTATCCTGGAGCAGAACCAGGGTGAGCAGCCCCGTGACGTGGGCTGTGACCCTGAGGCACGGACTCTCTGTGCCCTCTACGCTGTTGTCTCCATCCTGCTGCAGCTGGGTGAGAATTCTACCTCTGTGTCTTCCTAATACCATGTCAGCTCTTTTTTAAAAAATAACTTTATTTATTATTTATTTTTGGCTACGTTGGGTCTTCGTTGCTGTGTGCGGGCTTTCTTTAGTTGGGGCGAGTGGGGGCTACCCTTCGTTGCGGTGCGCGAGCTTCTCACTGCGGTGGCTTCTCTTGTTGTGAAGCATGGGCTCTAGACGTGCAGGCTTCAGTAGTTGTGGCACACGGGCTCAGTAGTTGTGGCTCACGGGCTCTAGGGCGCAGGCTCAGTAGTTGTGGCGCACGGGCTTAGTTGCTCTGTGGCATGTGGGATCTTTCCAGACCAGGGCTCGAACCCGTGTCCCCTGCATTGGCAGGCGGATTCTTAACCACTGCGCCACCAGGGAAGTCCCTCCTGTCAGCTCTTTAAGCATTTTCCCCACAAGCCTCTGGGTGCTCCCCTCCCCAGTCCATTCTCACCATCCCTATTCCCAATCACCAGAATGATGTCTTTAAAACAAGCCGCTATTTTTTTGATACATCCCATTCACCATGATAATGTCCAAAAATCAGCCTGGATTGTATGATTAAAAGTGGCAGATCGATCATATTAATTTCCTCTCCCTCTTGAAATCTCACTAAATGACAATAAAGCGATGGAAAAGATAGAAACCCACAAGAATAAAGAGAATTAGGCAGCAGATAAGGGATTTCAACACATCTTTGGAAGCAAGGAAGCAATTATAGGAGTGCAAGCTAGGAGGCATGGGACTGAGGGATGCGTAGGAGTGTAGGAGGAGACTGCTGGTTTTCATCATAAGCCTTTTAGTTCTATGTAACATTTTGCAAGACAATGTAATTAAAAGCAAAAGAAATATATATTTGTTGTAAAGCATTTCAGATATTTCTCAAAGTCAAAGGTAAAGGTACCCCGTGATCTCCCTTCTCCCTTTAATATAACCACTATTAACATTTTGGAGTATGTGAACATTTTTTCTATGGAGCAGTTTTAAAAATGGTAACTTAAACATTAAACTAGGAATGCTATAGCATACATTTGTTTTGTATCTATCTTTTGAACTAGTCACTTTTACATTTAAATTTGTAAAAATATTATATGCAACAGGAACTCTCCTAAGTGCTGTCAGAGGGTAGCTTGGTCCACCACTTTGGAAAACTGTTTACCAGTATCTACTGAAGCTAAACATATACCTATGACTCAGCAACTCCACCTCCTTGGCATATACCCAAGAGAAATGAATGCACGTGTTCACCATAAGATTGCATGTACAGAAACGTTAAAATAAGAGCCCCAAGCTGAAAACTATTCAAATGTCCAATAATATTAGTATGGATACATATATTGAGGTACACTTATGCAATAAAAGGGAACAAATTACTGCTACACATAACAACAGGGATGGTTCTCAGAGACAGAATGCTGAGCAAGTGAAGCCAACATAAAAACACATGGGTCTTCCGAGAAGTAGGTGCCAGAATGGAATCAGATATGCAAGGGACTTAATAGGGGGAAAGCCCGTGAAGAGTAAAGGGAGGGAGCAGGAATCGGCATGGCAAACCTTCAAATCACAATGAAGGTCTAAAACTTGGGAATGGAGAGGAGGAGGGAAAGACTCAGTAGGAAGGGTCTCGGGTGGCAGCACAGTCTGAGGGTCTCAGCCAAGCCGACCCGAGCAAAGGTGGTCTGCCGGAGGGCTCCCCATCAGGCAGAAGGGCCAGGCTCCAGTACCTCATACTCAGCTTTTGGCTGGATGTAGCCCCGGGGAGCTGGGGCTCAGAAGACAGATCTACAGCGGGGTAGGCTAGAGGTTCTCGGTCAACTCTGCTTCCCACAGCAGGTTCTCCTAAAGAAAATCCGGGTGGTACCCTCCATGGCCACCACAATACTGTATGATTCCATTTATATGAGGCCCAAGAACAGGCAAAACCAAGCAATAGGGGTAGAAAGTCACAATAGTGGTTATCTTAGTGGGGACAGTAGTGACTGGGAAGGGGCATGAGGGAATCTTCTGGCTGGAAATATATCAAGATTCACTGAGCTAACATTTAAGATCAGTATATGTTACTGTAAGTGTATTATATTCAATACATCAATAAAAGTCTTAAAAAAACACACAGTATATAACTCCATGTAAATGAAGTGAAAAACAAGCAAAACTACATGATGGTGGTAGATGTCAGAATAGTGGTTATCTCTGGGGCTTCCCTGGTGGCACAGTAGTTAAGACTCTGTGCTCCCAATGCTGGGGGCCCGGGTTTGATCCCTGGTCAGGGAACTAGATCCCACATGCATGCTGCAGCCAAGAGTTCACATGCCACAAATAAGGAGTCCACATGCCATAACTAAGGAGCCCTCGAGCCGCAACTAAGGAGCCTGCCTGCCACAAATAAGACCCAGTGCAGCCAAAAAAAAAAAGAAAAAATAATAGTGGTTATCTCAGTGGGTGCAGTATTGCCTGGCAAGGGGCATGAGGGAATTTTCTGGGGCACTGGACATATTTTATATCTTGATCTGGATAGTGGTTACATGGATGTGTAATCACGTTTACATGTGTAAACATTTATTAAGCTAAACACTTAAGATCTGCGCATTTTACTGTGAGTTTTTATCTCAATAAAAACTTTAAAAACATAATATATGCACATGAGGACATATTTGAACAGTACAGAAGAATATAAACAAATTAAGTAAAAGTTTCCTTTCAAACCCCTGAACCCTATAACCTAGTCCCACTTCCTTGAGACACCCATATTAACAGTTTTAGTTTTTATTACAACTAAACATGATATTCTTATATTTATTCTTGATTTATTAATTTTATTTTTTAAAGGGTTTTTTCTTTCTTTTTTTGGTTGCATTGGGTCTTTTTTTTATTTTTATTTTTAAATTTATTTTTATTTTTTGCGGTACGCGGGCCTCTCACTGTTATGGCCCCTCCCGCCGCGGAGCACAGGCTCCGGACTCGCAGGCCCAGCGGCCATGGCTCACGGGCCCAGCCGCTCCGCGGCATGTGGGATCTTCCCGGACCAGGGCACGAACCCGTGTCCCCTGCATTGGCAGACGTACTCTCAACCACTGCGCCACCAGGGAAGCCCTTTAATTTTTTAAAATTTGTTTTTTGACGTAAGGTAGATAGCTAGTGGGAAGCAGCCGCACAGCACAGGGAGATCAGCTCGGTGCTTTGTGACCGCCTGGAGGGGTGGGATAGGGAGGGTGAGAGGGAGGGAGACGCAAGAGGGAAGAGATATGGGAACATATGTTTATATATAACTGATTCATTTTGTTGTAAAGCAGAAACTAACACACCATTGTAAAGCAATTATACTCCAATAAAGATGTAAAAAACAAATTTTGTTTTTTGGCTGTGTTGGGTCTTTGTTGCTGCACGGGCTTTCTCTAGTTGCAGCGAGTGGGGGCTACTCTTCGTTGTGGTGTGCAGGCTTCTCCTTGCCATGGCTTCTCTTGTTGCGGAGCACAGGCTCTAAGTGCGTGGGCTTCAGTAGTTGTGGCACGCAGGCTCAGCAGTTGCAGCGTGCGGGCTCCAGTAGTTGTGGCGTGCAGGCTCAGTAGTTGTGGCTCGCGGGCTTAGTTGCTCCATGGCATGTGGGATCTTCCTGGACCAGGGATCAAACCCGTGTCCCCTGCATTAGCAGGCGGATTCTTAACAACTGCACCATCAGGAAACCCTGCATCAGGTCTTAGTTGCGGCATGCAGGATCTTCCTTGAGGCATGTGGGATCTTTCGTTGTGTCGTGCGGGCTTCTCTCTAGTTGTGGTGTGCAGGTTTTCTCTATGTAGTTGTGGTGTGTGGGCTCCAGGGCACGTGGGCTCTGTAGTTGTGGCACACGGGCTTAGTTGCCCCACGGCATGTGGCATCTTAGTTCCCCGAGCAGGGATGGAACCTGAGTCCCCTGCATTGGAAGGTGGATCTTTACCACTGGACCACGAGGGAAGTCCCTTGATTTATTAATTTTATTTTATTTATTGTTTTTTTTAAGATTTTTTTTTTTTTGATGTGGACTTTTTTTTTTTTTTGCGGTACGCGGGCCTCTCACTGTTGTGGCCTCTCCTGTTGCGGAGCACAGGCTCCGGACATGCAGGCTCAGCGGCCATGGCTCACGGGCCCAGCTGCTCTGCGGCATGTGGGATCTTCCCGGACCGGGGCACGAACCCGCGTCCCCTGCATCAACAGGCGGACTCTCAACCACTGCACCACCAGGGGAGCCCGGTCAACTGATTTTTGACAAAGGAGCAAAGGCAATTCAATGGAGGAAGGATAGTCTTTTCAACAAATGGTGCTGGAACCATCCATATGCAAAGAACATGAAACTATATAATTTCTAGAATACAACAGGAGCAAACCTAGATGACCTTGGGCTTGGTAATGAGTTTTTAGGTATGACACCAAAAGCATGATCCATGGGAAAAAAATTGGTAAATTGAATTTTACTAAAATTAAAAACTTCTGCTTAGTGAAAGACACTGTGAGAAGAATGAAGAGACAAGCCACAAAATGGGAGAAAATATTTGCAAAACACATATCCGATAAAGAACTTGTATCTAAAATATACAAAGAACTCTTAGAACTCAACAATAAGAATGACTAATCCAATAAAAAAAAATGGAGAAAGATCTGAACAGTAGATATACACATGACAAATAACATATGAAAAGATGCTCAGACCAGATGTCATTAGGGGATTTAAAACTAAAATGACAATGAAATATCACTATATACCTGTTAGAACGGCCAAAATCAAAAACACTGAAAATACCAAAAGCTGGTGAGGATGAGGAACAACAAGAAACACATCCATTGCTGGTGGAAATATAAAATGGGAGACCAACTGGGGACACGGTTTGGCAATTTCTTACAAAACTAAACATAATTTTACTATACAATCCAGCAGACATGCTCCTTCGTATTTACGCAATTGATTTGAAAACTTAGGTCCATATAAAAACCTGTACACAAATATTTATAGCAACTTTATTCATAATCACCAAAAACTGGAAGCAACCAAGATGTCCTTTACACACCCATATGATGGAATATTAGTCAGCAATAAGAAATGATCTATTAAGTCACAAAAAG